CATCAACTGATTAGAAACCAGTGGAATTATCAAGACAAAATGGGATGACATTTTTTCGAAGAGAATCAAGAGGCCATTTACATTTCGACCAAAATTGTGACAATTTTTTTGGCAAAGTAGGACTGGTAACGAGAATAATTGGAAATGGAATGGCAACGACAGACCCCGGGGGGGGGGGCACTTGGGTATTTTTTGGGTGGGTATGTGCTGCCCGGGACTTCAAATTGGCACCCCGTTCTAAAAAAATTTCCCCTAAAATTGATACCCCGTTCTAGAATTTGCCCTAAAACTGATACCCTGTTCTAGACATGGGCCAATTTTTTATACTCCGTTCTAAGCTGCGAAGAGTACAACAGTTTGCTTGTTAACGCATTGAACCATGTTTTTAAAAGCAATCTGTCCTTGAATAATTTCAAATGGCTGCTTACAAAACTGGAGCTTTCGTGCGTTCGAAATATTATACCCCATTCTAGAAAACGCCTCTGAAATGGATACCCCATTCTAAATCAGGAGCTTCAAAATCACGACCCCGTTGGGCGACACATACCCATATAGGTAATGTATGGGAGTACCCCCCCGGGGGACAGACCGGTCAGAGGACCACCTCTGGGGGTGGTTCACTTTGACTAGAGAATTTTCTCGTGGACCAAAGTGATCCATTTATTTTTGGACCAAAATTTCCGAAAATTTTGGCATAATGGAAAGCATCCCTAGAAACCCTTTATACATGACTAAATAATTTTTTTAGGGTTATTTATCACCGAATGCTATGCATTTGCATGGTGGTGTTATTTTACTACATGTCCAGAATCCTTTTGGTTTTTTTTCCTATCATATAAATTTTTTTGAAAAATCCCAGCGAGATCAAAAGCCCTAATTTGTACAAGATAGCAAAACCCTGACGGATTCTGGTTGGAAAATGACGTCATCGTGCAAATGACCTTTTTCTTCTTTCTTGCTTGCTCTATCATCGCTAAACCCTGGTTTGTACTTTAACCACTATGGCATGCACTCTGCAACATAATTAACATTGATAAAAAACTGAACCTGTTCACACTACAAGAAAAAAAAATTGGAAAATTTTGTAATTACCAAAACTTCAAAGATGGCGACAGCTTTTTCACAAGCGACAATATCCGCTGTTCCCTTTGACAGCTATCCCTCATTGGGTCATCTTAGCGGGGCTCCCACAACCTCTTTTCATTTGGTTCTCACGTGATTGACCGAGCGTACGTACATACGTACGCGTCTACAGATTGTACGGGTGGGTTAGGGAAGACTATCAAAAGGAAGGAAGGGGTGTCTCAGGCGTGTATTGCCAAGTCCACATCTTTAATATAGGACATTCGCAATATGGTCAGTTAACAGCTGTCAAAACAGGATAGCCACTGATCAGTATCCCATGACCATATCGCGGGCTCATATGTCAGCTCATCGAGGTGATGTGATTTATTTGGAAGCTGTCCGCTGACCAGTTAATTGTTGTACTAGATCGCGAACAATGTTCAATCTCATACTTTTAGCTAGTTTGAGAGCACAGGAAAACTGATAATGCACACATATTGGACTTCAATGTTTTGATCAATTGACAGCTGTCAAAACAGGGTACCCACTGACCAGTATCACTTGACCGTATCGCAGGCTCAGGTGTCAACCCATCGAGGTCGAGTATTTTTTTGAAGTCATCCGACAAGTTACTAGTTTTCAAGTGATCGCAGGCTCAAGATCAATTTTTTTTAAAATTCATACGAAATATGTTGTGTTTATGTGCCACGCAATTAAAATTTTGATTGCAAACTAACCTCAAATGCGAAAATTCAGCCAGCTGTTACAGGCTGGGAAGAGTTGCTTTTGACTTTTCTCACCATGGTCATGCGTTGGTCACACTCTACGTCCAATTTTTATGCTCTGATTGGTCAAAATTTGATAGGTGAGGTCATGCCAAAAATTTATGCAGCATCTTGAATCTTGTTTACTTTTACAGCTGAAGCTGACACAGTTTTCTGTAACTTGTGATGTTTTTAACTGTTTTTTTCCACTGGATGTACAAAATGAATTCAGCTGCTATCAGGAGTCTTCTGTTATTCACAGCTAGTTTGTTTATTGGGTTTTTGGTTGAAAAATACATCGCTTGTCCAAGTCAGAAATCCGATTTGGGATGGCATCGTTTTTGTTTTCACCTTGCTTGATTCGTAGGAGGGTTGCAAATTAAGTCTGAAGTGATACTGGCCTTACTTGATATCTTTTAGGAACTGCATCTCGAATGGTAAGCCAGAGTCATTATTGTATTTGATGTTTGTTTTTTTGTATCTAATTTAATGAAGTCGAGCATAGTTTATGCGGGTATTTAGTTTGTGCACTTTTGTAAGATTTGAGACAATGATCTGACCGAGTATCAGGTTTGATATAAGCTTACAGAACTTTAAAAAGCCTTTAGACAGTTTCTCACCGCAATAGAAAGAAAACGTTCCAAAGAATATTTAGTTGTAATTCTGGCTGTAAAAGAAAGCTTTGAGCGATTTTCTTGCCTCGAGTTTGTCTTTGAAAAAAGCAAACCGGCCAGGAAGCCGGCTCAAAACATAAACTTGAGCTTGAAGCTTGAAGACTCCGGATTTTAAGGGACACTTTAATACTTGTCTTCCTGAATGAAAATTGTTGTCTCTGTATGTGTTTCACCGAATTATATTTCTTTTATTGATTGTTAGGGTCTCTCTTGTAATTTTAATTGCCGTGCCGATTGTTTTCAGTCGTTCAGTGAACATCGCTTGCAGGAGTACTCAAAATGCCACCTGTAAACTATTAAATAAAAAATAAAAAATAAATTCTTTATTGCGTGACTCTGTTAATGTTCATTCAAACACTCACCCAGCTCGCACTAGAAAAGTTAGAACCGAATGTCAGTATAGGTGATTTTGGAAATTTTTTTAACGGTTTAGCTAAATGCCCACCCTTACTTCCATCGTCCTGAATATTGAATGAGTGCAAATTTGTATTGTGAAATACTGCTTTCTGTCCGAGGTCTGCATGATAAAAACAATGCCTCATACTACTATTTCACCTCAAATGTCATGTATAAATGGTATAAAAGGTTGGTTTATACGCACCCAGATTTGTTGGCAAGATTTTGCAAAGTAAACTTGTCGAACACAAAAAATTTGGCCTGATTTTTTCTTCCAGGCCTAATTAATCTACGCCATGCTCAAGAGCCATTAAGGCTCTTAAAGGTGATCGAAGATGATTATCAGGTTTTGGGTGTACATATGAGGCTATCAAGTCTATGAAAGATTTGGTTCACTCTTGGGCTGTTTGCAAATTATTTTTCTCTAAAATCATGTAGCCTTTCCCTCAATAGTCACAAAAATGTTACCCTGGTCCCAAGCTTTTTTTTATTTTTCTTTGCGAAAGAGATCAAGAGCAAGCCGCGAAGCGGCAACAACGAGTCGCGAAAGTGACGAGAAGAGAGAGAAAATTCTCTGGTTACCTTTGCTTCGAATCTCACTTTCATGCAGATGACAGGGTCAGGATCTGACCCTCGGGCGTTGATTGGTTCAATATTTTTTCAAACACGCAAACCAATTTGATTGGCTCGTTTAATTGTAACTACCGAGGGGACGGTGAGGATTTTCACACCTCATTTTGCCTCTCTCTACCAGGGAAGAAAATTGTTTGTATGCTGCACTCGCAATAACATTTGCACGGGACCAAGGCACGTAAGGCACGCCATATTTCGAGGTTTTGACATGGATGTTGTTCCTGAAAGAATATTGGAAGAAATTTTGACCTCGGTACTTGATGAGCGCTTTCTGAGTCTCACTGAGCAACAAAAGAAAGCTTTGTTTGCCGCGTTGAGTCAAAGGATGTGTTCACCATTTTATCAACCGGACATGGAAAGTATATAATATTTCAGTTGTTACCTGATGTTTGCAAGTACTTTTCCTTAAGAGGCTACTCATACCCTCGCCATGCAATAATTTTAGTTGTCTGTCCTCTCAAGTCTCTTGTGGACTCGCATATCCGCGAACTGCGAAACCGTGGCATCTCAGCAACCAGTTTCAGCAGTTCAGACGTTGACGATCAGAATCTCGTGTCTCGATGTATTTACCATTTTTTGTTACTATACTATCATTCCATTAAATAAACTAACTTGTTTAGGGCAGCAAAATATAAATCTCCGAAAACGGAATGAAAGTTTCCTTAATCATTTTTGGTGGAGCTTGCATTTTCCTGCGACGCCCAATATTTATCTTTAAAGATCTAACCAACGCTATTTTTGGCATTGGGTCAGCAAAAACCTCTGAAAGTACATTCCGAACCTTAAGGGTTTGTTGTGCGGCATAACTCCAGAAAGCTGGAGGCACCAAACTTAAAGGACCCATCCGCGTTTCTGGCCTTC